AGAGAGAGAGAGAGAGAGAGAGAGAGAGAGAGAGAGAGAGAGAGAGAGAGAGAGAGAGAGAGAGAGAGAGAGAGAGAGAGAGAGAGAGAGAGAGAGAGAGAGAGAGAGAGAGCATAGTAGTACTGGAAGTAGTAGTAGCAGTTGTTGTTGCTGTGGTAGTACTGGAAGTAGTAGTAGTAATAGTGGTATTAGTAGTAGTAGTAGTAGTAGTGGTAGAAGTAGTAGTATTGGAACTGAAGTGAACCTCACCATCCATTCCACCATCATTGTCCTGACTCTTGTCCCTGGGGCTGACCCGTATGCCTGCATGGTTTAGAGATACATGTTGGGATAGGGGATGGTAACGCTGCCTTATCTTGGTCATATCTACAATTTAATTTTGGACTGTGCACTTGGAACTTTCAAATTAAGCACCCTTCTCTGGCAAATGATTTTATTTTTTTAAATTCTGTGTGTTAAATTTATATCATTTGGCTGACTTTTTTTTTTTTTTTTCAAAACAACTTACAAAAGATGCCATTCAGCAGTTGAGGATTAAGGTTCTTGCTGAAGGGCCCAATCATGTTAACTCGGTGGTAGCATGATTTGAACTCATGACCTTCTGATCAGTAGTTCAGTACCATTACCTTAAAAACTGATCCACCACCTAGCCTTGTTATGACCTTTGACCTGAAGTGAACACTAAAGCTCAGCTCTCATGGAACTCAAACTAATGTATTCAGCTGTATTACTGTCTCAGCTGAAAAAGGTGAGTCAGAATGATCTTTAATGACCTACTGCACTGAGATGCAATCCAAACAAATATATTACAGCAGGCAGATCTCTCAGATTTTAACTCCCATCTACAGTAGAACAGTATGAGAAAACGAAAGAACTCTGAAATGAACCATATGGCAGTGAAACAGGGGTGAGGCTAGAAACTCTGAGCTTCCTGGAAAAAGATTACACTGGGCTCCTCATCCCACCCTACTCCAAACATCTATGCTTTAAACATTAGCGCTCAGTCATCCTAGTACAAACGACACTCCTTCACAAGGCTGTCGAGTGAGATAAAGCTGAGATCCAGCACACCAAATCTACTGGACCTGCAAATTACAGGAGATGCTCACTGCACTACATCCTCACTCCTATTAAAGAAGAATATGAGTGGCCAGCGAGAGCAGTGTGATGGAGTAGGCATGTGGAGATAAAGCATCTGTTCCATGTCCCTTTTTATACTGTAATTTATAAACAAGGCAACAGCTGAGTGAGCTCACATCCTGCAGAGGTTGAGATTAGCTAACACAGAAAGGGTTGTACTGTGCTCTGAGAAACAGAATGAAGTTGACAGCAGAGAAATTTAGACATTTTAGAGGAACATACTGTAGCTCAGACACAGCCAGCCATCCCACTCCTGTCATAATAATTCTTTTTAAAGTTTCTGGTGCTCTTGCTGCTGCTGTAAGACCCATTCTGCAATCATCTTCTCATGAGTGAGGTTCAGAGTTGGGTAATCTATGCACGCATCATTAAGTCGAGATGTAAGAACAGGATGCAAGAATCTTTAGGGCACGGTTTGAAAGACAACATCATCGTGTGTACAGAACAGGAACTGGTTTGGTGAACACTGTACGCAAGAACAATGATTGTTTGAGGATGAAAGCATGGATGACCAAAGGCTACTGACAGAAAAAATTCAAACTCTTGAAAGTATGAGTGGTCTGTGGGATGTAGGAGTGGCAGAAATGCAATGGCTTTGTGAGTTATCTTCAATAAACGCTTTATCCTGGTCCCAGTCATGGTGAAGCTATCCCAGGAAAACTGGTGTGAGAATACACCCTAGATGGGACGCCAGTCCATCACAGGGCACCATGCACACACATTCACACACTCATTCATAATTGCCTAGGGGCAATTTATCATAACCAACATGTTTATCATACCATCATGTTTTTGTGAGGTGGGAGGAAACCAGAGAACCTAGAGGAAACACACGGAGAGATGAGGAGAACATACTTAACCCTACATGAGCTCAGGATTACAATTTGAGGAAAGTCTCAGCACTCATAAGCAGAGGCATTTTGGACAGATCAAAGCTTAAACACTAATTGTAGTGACCTTGGAACTGTACTGTTCTAATTGACAATTATGCAATTTTAAGATACTGAGACAAAATCGGGGGCACGGTGGCTTAGTGCCTCTGCCCTGTGTGCATTGAGTTCTCCCCATGCTTCGGGAGTTTCCTCCAAGTACTCCTGTTTCCTCCCCCAGTCCAAAGACATGCGTTGTAGGCTGATTGGCATCTTTAAATTGTCCATAGTGAGTGAATGGATGTGTGAATGTGTGTGTGATAGTGCCCTGCGATGGGTTGGTACCCCGTCCAGGGTGTCCCCCACCTTGTGCCCTGAGTCCCCTGGGATAGGCTCCAGGCTCCCCACAACCCTGTGTAGGATAAGGTCAAAGTAGATACAAGATTCTAAATGTTTTTATACTTTCAAGCAATATGTTGTTGTAAAACTTTTCAGAAATTGTCAGTGGCATGTTGAATGCTGAACTGAATGTTATTTCAGTGTAAATAACATGTTCTTAACATCAGCATAAAAAAGGCCAGACAGCGCTTCATAACTTATTATTGTGTTTGAATTGATTATGTGAGTGAGTTACACAGGTAGGTCTGGGAATGTTAGCTTTACTTAGTGGTCAGTGTCTAATGGGCCACAGTTTCTGCCACTACCCTGCATTTCTTTCGCAATATCGATCTAGCTATAGAAATGAATAAAACTAGTGGGAACCAGTTAGTACTAGCAAATGATAGCATTTGCAAAAAGAGAAATGGTTATTATCTTGGATGCTTTGTTAGTCATGTTGGGGTGAAATAGTCCATGAATTGAAGCTTAGTGAAGCTTGAGGAGATGAAACAATAGTACCCTCTTCTGTTAGAACATAAGTACTGCTGGTATAGACACTGCCACACACAAATAGATGTAGACAGGGGGTATGGTGGCACAGCTGGTGGTGTTGCCACCTCAGAGCTCCAGGGTCCTCAGTTCAACCTTGAGCTCAGGCGACAAGTCAGTGTGGTGTTTCACACGTTCTCCCTGAACAAGTGATTGGGTCCTGCCAGGTTTTACACAGTGTGATGTTGTAAAGGAGGTTGTCCGTATGTGAAAGTGTAACAACCAATACAGAAGAAGAAGAAAACACATCAATGACTGTAGAAAAAGGTGTCAATTCAAGTCAACATAACTGTAGGTTTCAGGAGCAGGGCTTGTTCAGAAGGTATGTAATCTGATGCAATTTCCTTTTCAAAACAGCAGCCAAGTACTCCATCTATGTATGAAAGCTGATGGAAGGTTACTATACCCAGTTCCCCAATATAAAGATGCACTGTTTGTAAGGCATTCACAAGAAAATTACTTCTGCTACACTGTTTATTGCCAACGGCAAGCATGTTCACCAACCATCTGTTATACATTCCCTTCACTTGGGTTGTGAAACACACTTTCATCTTATGAGGGAAAATCAATAACACTTTTCGATTTTGACATTTTGACCTAAACACTGTCTTAATGCAAAACCTTAGAATGCAATTCCACCTGACTTTCAAGATACAGGCAGTATATCTTTTCATGGCAGACTCATACCTGGTGCTAAACCCAGTAATTATCGGGTTATTTAGATCTGGCGTCTTTAAGCTGGAAAATCACCAAAATCATGGTGCTGGACTCTTACATACTGGAATTGGCCCATGATTTTTTGATAATGCATTAGACTTTTTCTACATATATATTTTTTTTGGATGAGATTGCCATATCTCATGCAGAAAACAGTTTACAGTTTCCTTTTCTGCTCTGCAAAATTAGACAAAAAGGGGAACATTAAGACTCTTATTAGAACTGATCTGTTATGACAATCCAATCTGAGATTAAAACAAACATAGCAGTACAGCTGTGCTCTGTGAACCAGGATAATCAACATCATTAAAACTGAAAAACACAACACTGATAAAAGACTTTCGGATGTCACCAGGATTCCATAAACTCAACTGTGACTTATGTGAATAATGTGTAATCCTGTAATGATTAGCATTTGGAATAATGAAGCATTATTAATGTT